ATTAAAATATTCATGCATTGAAGCAGGAGGAGAGTGAGGAGGGGGGATTTTCCATGAACCCGAGGTGATTTGTTGGGTGTTTTGAGGTTCCAAGTGGAAAGCCCAGGGGAGAGGAGCTGCCGAGCCACCACCTTATCTGAGGAACAACAATCCCCGGGGATCACATGGGCTCTGCTCCTCTCTCTGCATCCATTGTGCCTCCCACAACTCCTCCTTCAACCCGTGCCAGGCACAGCCTCTGGAAAACATCCCCACCCCAGCCAGGCACAAATCCAGCATCTGCTGTCTGTCAGGAGGTGCTTCCTCCAGGAATTCTCACCCCGGGAATTCTCAACCTGCTTCTGATTGGGGAAAAAAAAATTTAACAAAAACACCAAAAAAAAAAACAAAACCAAAAATCAAGCCAAAAAACAAAACAACAACAAAAAAACCACACACACACAAAAAAAAAAAAAAAAAAAAAAAAAAAAAAAAAAAACCGAGCTGGAAGGGAAAAGGAAGGAATAAAAATCAAACCACACAAGGAAGTGGTTCTGCATGTGAAAACTGAGCAGTGTGAGAATCCTTCCTGATGGCACTGTCACCTGCAGCAGCAAAAATGTCCCAGAAAGGCCACTCTGGACCAGCAGAAGCTCTCTGGGCTGTGAATATTATCCTGTGAATATTATTGTCCACAGCTTCACATGGGGAATTCCTAAATGGAAAAGTCATTTATGGCTCATAAAGCATCAGGTGGGATCTCCAACCACACAGGCATTTTTTACCAGAAAATCACCAAACTGTGACCTCACTGTGGCCTCCAACACCCACGTGATGTTTAGGTGGGGATGTCATGAATTCATTTCTAAAAACAGCAGCAAGGAGGGCCCTGGGCACTGCCAGCCTGTCAGCCTGGGAAAATCAGAGATCAGATCCTCCTGGCAGCTCTGCTGAGGCCCACAGAGGGCAGGGAGTGATCACAGATCAATGAACAGCCTGGGAAGGGACACACAAGGGCCATCAAAGCCCAGAATGCTGAGCTGGACAGGGCCAACCAGGGCCACCAGGTCACAGAATGTCCTGAGCTGGAAGGGAGACACAAGCACCAAAAAGTCACAGAATAGTCTGAGTTAGGGAGAACCCACAAGGACCAACAAGTCACGGAATCCTGAGCTGGAAGGGCTCCACAATGAACCACCAAGTTATGGAATAGTCTGAGTTGGGAGCACAAGGACCACCAACTCACAGAAGAGCCCAAGCTGAAAAGAACCCACAAGGGCCATCACATCACAGAACACAGAGCTGGAAGGGCCCCACAAGGAGCACCAAATCACAAAATAGCCCGAGTCGAAAAATACCCACACGGGCCACCAAGTCACAGAACACTTTGCCGTAAGAGATCCACAAGCACCACCAAGTCCCGGAATAATCTGAGCTGGGACCAGCACGTCACAGAAGAGCCGGAGCAGAAAAGAACCCAGGACCGAGCCACAGAACCCACAAAGCCCATGGGCTCACGGAACCCCCTGCGCTGGGGAGGCTCCCGAGCCCCGCCGAGCCCCGGAGCAGCGGGAGCCGCCCGAGGCCCGCCCGGCCCGCCCAGCCCCGCTCTCCCCGAGCCGCCCAGGCCGCGCCCGGCCTGTCCGATCCGGGCCGGGCCTCACGTACCCGTCGAAGCGGACGGTGCCGGTCTGCTGCGTGTGGACGCGGTAATGCTCGAGCAGCAGCCGCACCACCTTGGCGTGCCCGTTGCGGGCGGCGATGATGAGCGGCGTGGAGCGCTGCCCGCCGTGCTGGCTCACGTAGCCCAGCAGGTACTTGATGTCGCTCTCGGAGCGGTTCAGCAGCAGCGCGGCCAGGGTGAGCACGCGGCCCTCGCTGGCCGCCTTGTACACGTACCCCGCCAGCCCCTCCATGGCCGCCTCCGCCTCCGCGCGGCCCCGCCGCCCGCAACGGCCCCGCTCGGGCCGGCCCGGCTCTGCCCCGGCCCGCTCCGTCCTGGCGCGGCGCCCCGCGGGGCGCACATGCGGCCGCCCCGGGGCCCGCCGCCCCCGGCCCCGCTCCCGGCGCTGCCGCCCCGGCCCCGGCGGGAGCGCAGCCGCCGCCCGGCAGGCAAGGCGCGGCCCCCCCGCCCGGAGCGCGGGCCCGGCCGGCACCGCCGCGCTCCGCCCCGGAACCGCTCGGCAGCGCCCGCCCGCCGCGGCGGGGCCGGCCGGCAGCGGCCGCCCGGGCAGCGCGTTCCGGGAGCGCCGGCGGCCCCAGAGCCGGGCCGGGAGCGGGGCCTGAGGGGCTGCGGCAACACAGCCGGGCAGAGTTCAAGGAATAAAGCAGGGATTTATTAAAGGCCTTCACAGGATACACCTTGGAAAGTACAAGAGCCCGGCTGTGGCTACACCCGAGATGGACAGCAGGTCACACGTTTTCACACTTGTATAAGTTTTGGTCCATTTCCATATTGGCGTTAATTGTCCAATTCCAGCTCCAGGTTATGCCGTCCCATCCTCCCAGATTGCTCTCCTCAATTCGCTGTTGTTTGCACTTTTTGGGCCTGAAGCTGCAGCGGTGTCCTTGGTTCTGGGCCTGGAAAAGGATTGTTTTGTCTGACTGAACCATGAAGAAAACTTGCTAACAGTTTATATGAAGCTCAGTTATACACCAATGCAGTACAGAATCTGGAAAATAGGAAAGCTGAAACTTAAGGCATCAGCAGCACTGCCAGGGCACATCCCCAAAACACAATAACACAGACAACTGCTTGTGTCACCAGCTCAGCTTTTCATCCTCATTTCCACTGCATGACCACTGAGCTTGGAAAATACCTGAGAGGTCACCGAGTCCCAGCTGTGCCTGACCCCCACCGTGTCACCAGCACCACATCCAGGAATTCCTTGGACACCAGCAGGGATGGGCACTCCAAACCCCCCCAGGCAGCCCCTGACTACCCTTTCCATGGAGAAATTCCTCCTGATGTCCAACCTAAATCCAACCTAAACCTCAACTCTGGTGCAGTTTAAGAAAATGTCTTCGAATCTTGTCCCTATTCTCTGGAAGCTGAGCCTGACCTTCCCTGGCTGCCCCCTCCCATCAGGAAGTGTGGAGAGGGAGATTGGGTTGAGTTGGGTTGGGTTGGGTTGGGTTGGGTTGGGCTGGGCTGGACTGGGTTGGGTTGGTTGGACTGGATTGGGTTGGACTGGATTGGGTTGGGTTGGGCTGGAATTTGTTCATTTGGGCTGGGCTGGGCCAGGCTCAGCTGGACTGGGTTTGGGTGAGCTGGGTTTTGTTGGGTTGGGTGAGACTGGACTGACCTCAGTTGGGTTCAGCTGGGCTGGGTTGGGCTGGGTTTGGATCCATTTGGGGTTTTTTAAGCCAGACCCAGCAGCTCCCATCACCTCAGCCATGCCCCCCGCACACATGGGACCCTCACCCCTGGTTTTGGGGACCCCTTGTCACACACCTGTCACCTCAACCACCTGCAGGGCCACCTGCCTGGCTGCTGGTGACACGAGCCACCAGCAGTAAGGGGACACCACCCCGGGCCCATCTGCTGCCCCATTGTCCTGTGGGGGATCCGGTCTCAGCCCCGTTAATTTTTAACCTGGAGTCCTGACACCGGACCCGCAGCACTTTGTGGGATGTGCATTATTCATGGAGCAGCAGCCGGAGCCCGGAGAGCCCGGGGGACACCAGGGGACACCAGGGGACACCAGGGGACACGAGTCAGGCTGTGGCCGGCCCTGTCTAGAGGCATGTAGCCATGTCAAGGGTGACAAGCAGGGTCCTGGTAAGATTAAGTGGCTCCGTTATCTCGGTGATCTCCGACACTTTTCAGGGATATTTCCCCAGGTGTCGCCCCTGTCCTGCAGGTGGAGCAGGGATGGCGTGGGGAGGGTCCCCTGCTCCTCGAGAGGGACCAAGATCTCCCTTCTGCTGCTGCTGGGAGCCCCGTCAGCTTCACTGGGACCACAATTCCTCAGTGGAACACACAGCTCCTCCCAGGGATTGTCCTGTTCCCATCCCGTGTCACACCATGCACATCCAAGGGAATGGGGACAGGGTGTGACACACGGAGCTCCCATCCCAGGGGTGATGGAGCCTCTGTGCCCAGACCAAGCCCTCCAGGAGGGGTTTGGTGCCTCAAACTTTGTTCCTTGTGAGGGTGGGGAGGCCCTGCCTGTGGCTGCCACATCCCTGGAAGTGTCCAAGGCCAGGTTGGACAGGATAACCTGGGATAATCCTGGGAAAATATCCCTGCCCATCGCAGGATTCACCACCTGATTTTGACTCAAAACTCCAAACCCCAGCGACCACGAATTCAGCCCCGAAAGCTGCGAATCCCTCCCTGTCTGGGCGCGACCCCATCCCGATGGATTTATCCAGCCAAAACCAAGACCAGGCAGCGAACAGAGCGGGGCATCCCCTGCGAATAACCCAGGGCAATGGAAACTCGGGGAAAGCAGCGTGGCCAGACCCCCGGAGAGCTCCAGCTCCTCATTCCCAGTGAACCCGGGGCTCGGAGCGATGGATCGGCACGGAATGCCCTGAGCGTTCCCTGCCCGGGGATGCGGGGGATTCCTCCCTGATCCCCGGGGCATTCCTCCCTGATCCCGGTCCGGAGCACTCCGGTGTGCCCCTCACAGCCGGGGTTATCCCGGCCCCGCCGCTCTCCCGGTGCGTGACCGGCAGGCCGGGCCGGGCCGGGCCGGGCAAGCAGCGGGGCCGGCGCTGCCCTTGCTGGGGATCCGGGGGATTCCTCCCTGATCCCAGTCTGCGGCATTGCGGTGTGCCCATCACAGCCCGGGTTACCCCGACCCCGCCGCTCTCCCGGTGCGTGACCGGCAGGCCGAACCGGAGGAGCGGGGCCGGCGCTGCCCCCGCCCCGCCGGGCGGGCCCGGGGCCGCCCCCGCGCAGCCGCCGCTGCTCTGGGGCCGGGCCGGGAGCTCCCGGCAGCGGGGTCGGCGCCGGCACCGCCACAGCAGCGGCAGCGGCCCCGGCAGCGGCTCCGGGAGCCCCGGCCGGGCGGATGCAGGGCTCGGCGCGGCGCCGGCCCTTCCCGGCCGCGGCCCCGGGCTCGCCCCCGCCCGCCGGGCCGCTCTACCCGGGCAGGTGAGTGAGCGCGGCCGGGGCTCGGGAACGGGAAAATCCACTCCGGGTTCACTGGGGATCCTCACTGCATCTAAGCCCCCCAGATCAGCCCGCCCCGAGCCCCCCGGGACAGCCCGGCCCCTTCCCGGGTACCACCCCCGGTGCTGCGGGGTCCGGAGCATCCCCAGGGTCGGGATCCAAAATATCCCCAGGGTCGGGATCCGGGACATCCCCAGGGTCGGGATCCGGGATATCCCCAGGTTCAGGGTCTGGGATATCCCCAGGGTCGGGGTCCCCCAAGGTTTCCCCACTCGGCTTTGTCCATAGCATCCCGGCATACCTGGGTTATCCCAGCCGATCCAGGGTTTGGCAGACTCTTCCAGGGAGCCGCGGCATTCCCAGCTCATCCAGGGTACCCCATCCTCACCCTTCAGCTCTCGGGGTTCGTTGAGTCATCCCACAGTGGTTTGGGGTGTAAGGGACCTTCAAGATCCTGTTGGTCCAGGGCAGGGACACTTCCATGGACTTCGGACCACGGGCAGCCCAAGCCCGGGGCTGCTCCAGCTGATCCCGTTCTGGTCTGGGCACCAGGAGAGGCATTGATCCGCTTTTCCTGCAGAGAGCTGAAGGTCCAGAGGTGCTGGGGGAGCATTTCATGGAAAGGCTCCATCGGGGCTGGATCCTCGGGGTTGGATCCTCGGCAGAGGGGGCTGGAGCAGGAGCTGAAGGTGACGCTGCATCCCCAGCATCCCATCCCGGTGCTGGAATCCCGCCGGGCAGCGCCGCATTTTCAGCCCTCAGCTCAACTCCTGGGAGTTGGGATTTTGCTTCATCATGCAAAAGTTAAAAATAGTTGCACTTAATTCAGCACTTTTCACCTTGCTGAAGAGGCCGGGAGGAGCCTCCCCACAGGGACGGGTCAGGCATGGTGGCAGCCTGGTGCTCTCCTGCCCTGCCCGCTCCCCAGCTTTGTTATCCCGCAGCTCCCAGAGCCACGGAAGCGCAGCCCGGGCGTGGGGTGGCAGCTCTGCCTCCTCCCAGAGCTGCTCCAGGGCTCCGTGTCCCTCTGTCCCCTCCAGGCACGGGGCGGGGAAGGCCGAGGACACCTTCAAGACGTCCCCGTTCCACCTGGACCTGTGGTTCTACTTCACCCTGCAGAACTGGGTGCTGGATTTCGGGCGCCCCATCGCCATGGTGAGTGAGGGGACACGGCCAGGGGGGTGTCCTGGAGGAGCTGGGACCACTGCCCCGCTCTGGTGGCACTGGGGCCAAGCCAGCTCCAGCCTCTGTTCTCTCTCCCACACCTTTGTTTCACACCTGGGAGGTTCCTCCTGCCATTCCCCATTCCTTGCCTGCACCCCAGAGTTTGGGGCTGCAGCTTCCAGGAGTGGCCATTCCATTTCAATGGAATTTTTTCAAGCTGGAAGCTGGCAGAAGGTTCAGGAGGATCTGGGAATCCCAAATGCTTTCCTTGTTCCCACAGCTTGCCAGCACCGGGCAGGGACAGGAGTGGAAATTTCCAAGGGTGATTTTTGGGAAGTTTGCTCCAAGATGAGCTGCCCTGCCAACCCCCTGAAGCTCAGCTGAGCATTCCCAAGCAATCCCAACGTTTTCCCTCTCCCATGTGCTGCTCTTCCCTCTCTCCTCAGATCATCCTCCCTCTGGAATGGTTCCCTCTGAACAAACCCAGCGCTGGAGATTATTTCCACATGGCTTACAACGTTATCACCCCCTTCCTGCTGCTGAAGGTAAGCCTGGCAATGTCCAGGGGTTCCCCATTCTCAATTCTGTAAAGTTTCAGAGGTTTTGAGGGTGTTGGTTATTCCCAAATTCCTGCCAGTGAGGAAGAGTTCAGAGGATTTGTGATGCCACCTCAATTTCCTGCATGTCCAGAGCAAATCCCCCTGGAATTCTGGCTCCAGGAGGAGTCAGAGCTGAAGGTAAACCTGGAATGTTCAGGGGTTTTCCATCCAGGTTTTGCAAAGGCTCAGAGGATTTTAGGATGTTGGTTATTCCCAAATTCCTTCCAGCAAGGGGGAATTTCCCACTCCAGGAGGGATTTGTGGTGCCACCTTTTAATTTCCTGCATGTCCAAAGCAAATCACTTCCCCCTGGAATTCTGGCCTCAGGAGGGGTCAGAGCCCTTTTCCCAAATGATATTTTTAGGACAACAGCCACCCCTGGCTTAACAGGCAGCTGGAAGCAGAGTGGATTTTCTGAATTGTTCAGAGCTTAATTCCACTTGATCTTTGACATTGGAATTGTAGCTGGAGCTGGAATTTATCTGGCTCCAGCTGCCAACCTCTGGATCTCATGAACCATTCACGAGGTGAAACCCTGTCAGATCATTAGGAATCTTTTCCCATTAAACACTCGAGGAGAAAGCAATTATAAATCTATTTTAACCTTCATTAGCTGGGAACTGAATTACGGCCTGAGGTGGAAATGATTCCCTCTCGATATCCCGGGAGGATTTCAAGGCTGGGGGCAAAAAGGGAATATCCAGGAGGTGGGAGCTGACCTTTCCCAGGTGGTTTCTGCAGGGATCACGCACAGGGAGATCCAGGCTGCATTTCTCTGGCCCAGGGACGTGTCCCACCCTCCTGTCCCCCCCAGGACCTTGTGCTCTCCTTGTCCCCCTGTGACGTCCGTGCCGCAGCTCCAGGGGAAGGGAAAGCTAAGCCTCCAAATTAAACCCAAATAAGGTCAAAATTAAACACAAATAAGGAGCTTTTCCCTGCCTGGGGAGGGCTGCAAAGCTGATTTAGGGAGAGGGGGGGCCCTGGCTGATCCCAGAGCTGACCCAGCCAAAGCTGGAAAACTCCTGGGGCTGGGATCTGCCTTGGGAGCTGCTCCTGCTGCGCAAGCTGAGCGTGGAGCTGCCTCCCAAAATTCCTGCTGCTGTTCCAAGGCTTGTCCCGGACCCTGAGCCAGCCTCAGGTGCTCGAGATGGGGCAGGGAGGGAGCCCAGCACTGCAAGCGGTGCCCAGAAATTGCCCCGAGTGGTTTTGTGGCTCCTCCTGGCTGTGGGGTCAAACTGTGGGGAGCTGAGTCCTGTTCCGTGGGGAAGGAAGGGAACAGGACCCCAAAATGTTCACCTGGGGAATCCTGAAGTGTCCTGAAGCTCTCTGTGGAGCCGAGTTCCATTCCATGGGGAAGAAAGGGAACAGAACCCCTAAATGTGCACATGGGGGATCCTGGAGTGTCCAGACAGGGTGGGAAGTGTGAGGAGCTCTGTGCTGGAGGCTCTGCTGCCACTGGAGGGCACATCCAACCTCCCAGTCCTCTCCAGAGGCAGGAGAACCACGGCCTTTTGATGAGGAAACCCTCATTAACAGCAAACCAAACGAACTCTTGGGGTTGAAAGCAGCAGAAACCCCTTTAGAGGTTTTCCTCCCAAAGTTACCCAAAGCCAGGACAGGTTGTTACATCTTTGAGAAAAAGGGATTGGCTGAAATTTCCTGAGTTTATACCTTTAAAACCTAAGGGCCAGTGCTTAAAACCAGGCCTGTAACCCTTGATTTGAAGCACCCTGGCAGAATGACAATATTTGTCTTGGAATATTTAGCTTGGGTTCATTTAAAATTGCACTAAATGCCATTTCTAACTCCTATCCCAATAAACCAAGGCTATCTGTTGCTGTTATGACATGAAACTCTTGGGATGTGTTGTAGTAGCAATTTTCAGTGAAAGGCAGAGTGCCTGGAATTGGATTTTGGTGAGATGCAGGTGCCTTACCTGCAGAAAGCAATCCATTCTCTTCAGCACAGCCTAACTCATCACCTCCTGGTGCCAAAACCACAAAACCTGTGCCTTTGACCCCAATATGAGTTCGCTCAGGAGTTGGACTTGATTTTTTGGGTCCCTTCAAGCTCAGGATATTTTGGGGTTTTTGGTGATGAATTTCTGAGCGCTCTGGCAAAAAAACCCCAAAACCCAGCAAGGGCAGGAGCTGCCACATCCCTGCTCCTCCTCCTCATCCTCCTCACACCCTCCCTGTGCCTGCAGCTCATCGAGAGGTCCCCCAAGACCCTGCCCAGGTCCATGGTCTACGTCAGCATCATCACCTTCGTGATGGGCGCCAGCATCCACCTGGTGGGAGACTCAGTGAACCACCGGTTGATCTTCAGCGGGTACCAGCACCACCTGTCTGTCAGGGAGAACCCCATCATCAGGAACCTCAAACCCGAGACCCTGGTGAGGCCCCAGCTGGGTTTGTAAAATCTGAATTTGTGAATGGGAAAGGAACCTCAAACCTGAGACCCTGGTGAGGGCTGAACTGGCTTCTGAAATCTAAATTTATTAATGGTAAAGGAACCTCAAACCCAAGACCCTGGTGACGGCTGAGCAGGGTTTGTAAATTCTGGATTTGTAAATGGCAAAGGAACCTCAAACCTGAGACCCTGGTGAGGGACTGAACTGGCTTCTGAAATCTAAATTTATTAATGGCAAAGGAACCTCAAACCTGGCTCAGCTGGGCTCTAAGATCTGAGTTCATAAATGGTAAAGGAACCTCAAACCCAAGACCCTGGTGAGGGCTGAGCTGGGTTTTAAAAATCTGAATTTATAAATTATAAAGGCTGAGCTGGGCTCAAGCATTTCTAAAACCGGAATTTATAAATTATGAAGGAACCTCAAACTCAAGACCCTGGTGAGGGGGTGAGCTGGGTTCTGAAATCTGAATTTATAAATGATAAAGGAACATCAGGCCTGAGACCTCGGTGAGAGGCTGAGCTGGGTTCTAAAATCTGAATTTATAAATGATAAAGGAACATCAAGACAGAGATTTCAGTAAGGGGCCGAGCTGGGTTTGTAAAATCTGAATTTATAAATGATAAAGGAACCTCAAACCTGAGACCCTGGTAAGGAACTGAGTTAAGCTCAAGCATTTCTAAAACCTGAATTTATGAATGACCTGGGTAAGGGGCTGAGCTGGGCTCAAGCATTTCTAAAATCAGAATTAATAAGTGACTCCGGTAAGAAACTGAGGTGGGTTCTAAAATCTGAATTTATAAATGATAAAGGAACCTCGAGCCTGAGACCTTGATAAGAGACTGAGCTGGGGTCAAGCATTTCTAAAATCTGAATTTATGAATGGCCTGGGTGAGGGGCTGAGCTGGGATCAGGCATATCTGAAACCTGGATTTATGAATGATGAAGCTGTTTGGGATTTTGCTCGTTTGCTAACTGGGATTCTCCCCGTGTCCTGCCACAGATCGATTCCTTCGAGCTGCTCTACTACTACGACGAGTATTTGGGGCACTCCATGTGGTGAGTGATGCCAGGTTATGGGATGGCACAGGGGGAAGGGCAGGGCTTAAAGTGGAAAATGAAAACCCCGAGCCGGAGCTGGCCGGGGATAATGATCTGCTGGCCAGGGCTGGATTAGGATTAGGATCCAGATTAGGGGGGATCCGGCAATCGCTGGAAAATCCCCTCTGCTCAGGGGTATTTTGGGATTGGAGGGCCAGGGGAACAGCTTGTCCTTCCAGGGGGACAGGAGGTTCCTCCTCCTGCACCCCCAGATGTGCCCCAAACACCCCAAACGCCATAAACACTGCAAACACTCCAAACATCCCCAATACCCCAAACATCCCCAATATCCCAAACACCGCAAATACCCCAAACACCACAAACACCCCAAATATCCCAAATATCCCAAACATCCCCAACACTCCAAATATCCCAAATACCCCAAACACCCCAAATATCCCAAAATACCCCAAAATATCCCAAGAGGAGGGTCTGGCTAGGCCTGGACCCGCTCCAGGTGATCCTGGGGAAATCTCTCCTGCCTGATTTAGGGTTCCTGGAGTGCTGGGAAGGAGCAAACCTCATTCTTTGGAGCTCTTAAAAAGGAAGAAGAGCTCTGGGGGTTTTGGGAATCCTGCTCCACATCCCAGACACAGCACAGGAGCCTGGAGTGCCTCGCTGGAATTACCCAAGGCAGCAGCTGGAGCCCAGCTTTGCCTTCATCGGCAATTCCAGGCTTTTCCTGCCCCAGGCTGGGAATTCTCTGCATCTGCAGAGCCCAGGACGGGCCCAGCCCCTGCCCAGCCCTTCTGTGCCCTGCCCTGGGGAGGCAGCAGGAATCCCTGAGCAGGGAATCCCACAACAAGGGATCCCACAGCTGCTCCTTCCCCAGGCTCAGCACAGGGGCAGTTCTGAGTGTGGGGGGGATCTGGGGGAGTTCCAGTCCCTTCCAGGCTCCTCCCAGCTCTGGGAATTGCTGGTGTTTTCCAGGTACATCCCGTTTTTCCTGATCCTGTTCATTTATTTCACCGGGTGCTTCACGCCCGCGGCGGGGCAGAGCCGGATGCCCCTGGCTGCCCTGCTCCTGGTGGGGCCCAGCAGCCTCTACTACTGGTGAGTGCCTCGGGGTGGGAGGGAATTCCTCAGGAATACCCAGGAATGTTCCAGGAAAAGCTGCTCCATCCCCCAGGGCTCCCCAGGGCAGCTTTTGCTCTGCAGGGCTGGGAATGCTTTCCCTGTGATCCCAGGATCAAAACTGATCCCCGAACAGCCTGGAATGTTCTCCCAGTGATCCCAAGATCCCAATGATCCCAGAAAAGCTGGGAATACTTTCCCTGTGATCCCAGGATCAAAACTGATCCCAAAAGAGCTGGGAATGTTCTGCCTGTGATTCCAGGATGAAAACTGATCCCAGATAAGCTGGGAATGCTCTGCCTCATCCCAGGATCAAAACTGATCCCAGAACAGCCTGGAATGTTCTCCCAGTGATCCCAAGATCCCAATGATCTCAGAAAAGCTGGGAATACTTTCCCTGTGATCCCAGGATCACCATGGATTCCAGAACAGCTGGAAATGCTCTCCCTGTGATCCCAGGATCAAAACTGATCCCAAAAGCGCTGGGAATGTTCTTTCTGCATTCCATCATCACCACTGCTCCCAGATAAGCTGGGAATGCTCTCCCTGTGATCCCAGGATCAAAATTGATCCCAGAACAGCTGGGAATGCTCTGTCTGCATTCCAGGATCACCACTGATCCCAGAAAAGCTGGGAATACTTTCCCTGCATTCCAAGATCACCACTGATCCCAAAAGTGCTGGGAATGTTCTCTCTGCATTCCGGGATCACCACTGATCCCATAACAGCTGGGAATGCTCTCCCTGTGATCCCAGGATCAAAACTGATCCCAAAAAAGCTGGGAATGCTTTCCCTGTGGTCCCAGGATACCACTGATCCCATAAAAGCTGGGAATGCTCTCCCTGTGAATCCCAAAAGAGCTGGGAATGCTCTTCCTGTGATCCCAGGATCACCACTGCTCCCAGATAAGCTGGGAATGCTCTGCCTGCATCCCAGGATCAAAACTGCTCCCGGAGGAGCTGGGAATGCTCTCCCTGCCAGGATCACCATGGATCCCAGAGGAGCTGGGAACGCTCTCCCAGCACCTCGGGATCCCCAGGAATTGTCCCCGCAGGTACCTGGTGACCGAGGGCCAGATCTTCATCCTCTACATCTTCACCTTCTTCGCCATGATGGCGCTGGTGATGCACCAGCGGCGCAAGGGGCTGGTGCTGGACAGCAACGGGCTCTTCCTCTTCCTCTCCTTCATCATCACCCTGCTCCTCATCGCCGCCTGGGTGGGCTGGCTCTGGAACGACAAGATCCTGCGGAAAAAGTACCCGGGGGTGATTTACATCCCCGAGCCCTGGGCCTTCTACACCCTGCACATGAACAACCTGCACGCAGCCAAGGGCGCTTTCTAAGCTTTTGGTGTTTTTGAGGGGGGGGAAAAAAAAAAAAAGAGAGAAGAAATCTAGTTTTTCTAATGTAGATTCATGTGTTTCCAAATAAATTCCTGAGTGGTGGTGGCTGTGTGGTGATTACCGCTGGTCAGGAGGGGATTAATTAAAATTCATTAACTCGCTCTCACTGGTGAGCACAGGGGCAGGAGAGGGCAATTCCCACAAACAGCCCTAAAATCCATCAGGAAGAAGGGAAATTCCAGGGGTCTGTGCACCAGCACTGCCAGCTCTCACAAAAAGGCAAATTCCCCACAAACAGACCGAAAATCCACCAGGAATGGGGAAAACTCCAGGGGTCTGTGCACCAGCACCAGAAGCTCTCACTCAGACTTAAGAATCCTTCAGAACTCCCCACAAAGCAACCCAAAATCCTTCAGGAAGGATGGAAACTCCAGGGATCTCTGCCCCAGCACCTTCAGCTCACACAAAAGGGGAAATTCCCCACAAACAGCCCCAAAATCCATCGGGAAGGGGGGAACTCCCAGGATCCGTGCACCAACACCACCAACTCTCACTCAGACACGAGAATTCCTCAGAATTCCCCAAAATCTGCCCGAAAGAGGAGCCAGGGCTGAGCAGCTCCGGCTGCCCCGGGGATGCAGCTCCAGCTCCAGGGCTGGGAGGAGGAAATCTGAGGGTGAAATTCGGGATAAAAACAGATCCCTTCCCTACAAACCCTCCTGCAGATCCAGAAATCTCCGTCAGCCTTCAGCCCTTCCTTTTTTTTTTTTTTTTTTTAATATTTTAATTTTGGAATTTTCTGATCTTTTTTTTTATTTTGGAATTTTTGGATCTTTTAAAATTTATTTTGGAACTTCAGAATTTTTTGGATTTTTTTTTTAATTTTGGGATTTCTTTGCATTTTGGAATTTTTGGAATTTTTGAATTTTTGGATTTTTTTATTTTGGAATTTTGGAATTTTTTTTTTTAATTTTGGAATCTTTGGATTTGTTTTTTAATTTTTGGATTTTTTTATTTGGGAATTTTTTGGAATTTTGGATTTTGGAATAGCTTTATTTTGGATTTTTTTTTTTTGCATTTTTTTATTTTGGAATTTTAGAATTTTTTTAAATTCTTTTGAATTTTGGAATTTTTTTTTTTTTTTTAGTTTTTGGATTAATTTTTTTTTTAATTTGGCAATTTTCGGAATTTTGGATTTTGGAATATTTTTATTTTGGAATTTTTAGATTTTTACATCCTCCTCCTCCTCTCCCAGCAGCCAAGCTCAGTGCCAGGTGCGCTTCTTTGGGATGACCAAACGCGCGGTTTTGGGGCCCCAGAGAGCCGCAAAACCCCATCCCAAAGCGGCTGGGAAATGTTTTTTCCCGGCAGGAGCAGGAGCGGAGCAGGCTCAGCCCCGTAGCCATGGCAGCGGGTATTTATTACAGCCTCCGCCCGCCCGGCCGCACTTTGGCCCCGAATAAAGCGCAAAAGTGGCCGCAGCCGCCTCCGCTCCCGCCGGGACCCCAAATCCCAGCGATTGGCCCCAAAACCATGGTGAGTGACGCGGGCGGGCCCCGCCGGGCCCCTCTGCGCCCCCAAATCTCATTTTAAAGCTGCTTCTTTTGCTTTTTTTGGTTTTTTTTTCTCTCCGTTCCTGCTCCAGGCAAAGTTTCTGTCCCAGGATCAAATTAATGGTAGGTATGAGTTTGTTCCGCTTCGGGCGTTAATTAGCGAGATTCAATTTACATTTCTATAAAAATGAGGGGTTTTTCCCCCAAAGTGTCTCGGTCTGGGCTCGCTGTCCCTCAGTCCCGGATCGGCTGCCTGGGAAAACAGGGAAATCTCCCAAATTCCAAGGGAAATTCTGCAGGGCAGGAGCAGCCGGGAGGGAGGGGAGCGCCCGGTGCCCATCCCCAGGGAAACACCCGGGAATTCCGGGGTTCAGTCCCGTCCTGGGGGCTCGGGAGGAGGAGGAGGAGGAGGAAGAGGAGGAGGAGGAGGAGGAAGCGCAGGGGATCCAAATTCCCACTGGGGAAGCGGAACCGCGCCCGGGGCTGGGATTGCTCCTTCCGGCCGAAGGAAGCTGAAATAAGGGTATTAATAAGGGTATTAATGAGAGTATTAATGAGAGTATTAATGAGAGTATTATTGCAAATCTGATCAGCTCCGCCGGGGGATCGGCGAGCGGAGGAGGCGGCCGGGCCAGGGGAGGCCACGGCGCCCACGGGCGGCCCCGGAGCATCCCCGGGGCAGCAGCGAGGGCAGGGGACAGAGGGGACAAGGACGGGGGTGGCACCAGCCCAGGCTGGGTTTCTGCAGCCGGAGGGAGCCGGGAGGGAACGGGAGAGAGCCCGGCCGGATCTGGGTCAGCCGCAGCCGGGCGGAGCTGCGGGAGAGGGGGGAGAACTCGGCAGCTTCCACCTCCAAAATATTCCATCTCCAAAATATTCCGCCACCAGCATCCTCCCCCTCCAACATCCTCCTCTCCTCTCCTCTCCTCTCCTCTCCTCTCCTCTCCTCCTTCCTTTTCCTTCTTCAGTTCCCTTCCCTTCTTCCCCTCCTTCCTCTTTCCCTTCTACTTTCTTTCCTTCCTCTTTTCCTTCTTCCTCTTCTCCTCTTTTTTCCGTCTCTTCCTCCCCCTCCATCATCCTTCCCCTCCCTCCTTCATCCTCCTCCATCCCTCTCCCCGCTCTTCCGCCCCACCAATGCGGGAAAATCGCTTTTAACCAAAACCCTCCCCTTTCCCAGCCCCTTTCCCCTCCCATCGGCGCTTCCTCAGCCCGGAGGGCCCCAATTAGCGCCGCTCGGGGTTTTAATTGCCCGTAATTCCCCCCGGTTCCCCGCCGTGCCCATCACCCCGCTGGAAAGGCGACACCCCCGGGCCGACACCGGATCCCGGCTGGAATCGTGCCCGGCCCGGCCCGGCCTCAATGGGATCCTGCGGCTGACCCAGCTTTGGTTCTTAATTAGAGTTCAAGGAATGTTTTTCCCTGTACGACAAGAAACAAAAAGGGAAGATCAAAGCGTCGGACCTGCTGGCAGTGATGCGGTGCCTGGGAGCCAGCCCCACGCCCGGAGAGGTGCAGAGACACCTGCAGCTGCACAGGATCGGTGAGCCACCTGCACGGCCACCACAACGGGGATTAAACATGGGAAAATCCTGTTTGCCTGGAGCTGGGATGTTCCAGGAGGGAGCATCCACCCAGAGCAGTCTCCAGAAGCTGTTGTGATGTGTTAAATCCAGCCCACAAATCAAAACAGCACCGTGAAAATCCCTAAAAAAGCAGGAGACAAATATTTAATATGGATTTGGAGGGTGGGAGATTGTCCAGGCCAACCAACAGAGGTGGAAGAGCACAGAAAGACGTTCAGCTGAAGATCTGTGGGAAAAACAAAGCACAAAAACCAAGGAATTGTGAAATCAGGTTGGGGGGGGGAGGGATTAAAAATTCAGGATCTGAGTTCAGAGCACAAATTGAACAGTTATAAATGGGATTTTAGGAGAAAAAAAATCCCATTTGTTACAGATTCTCTTTTAGGAGGAAGTTGTGACATGCCCTGATCCAGATCAGGGAAACCCCAGGAAAGGGAACTGGGGGAGGATGAGGAGGGTGTTTAGCCCTGGATCCAGCCCCCAGACACAGCCATTCCCAGAGGATCTGCCCTTCCTCTCCCAGACAGGAACGCAGAGCTGGACTTCTCCACCTTCCTGAACATCATGTACAGGCAGATGAAGCAGGAGGAGCCCGAGGAGGAGATCCTGAGAGCCCTGGCCATGATTGACCGGCAGAAGCGAGGAGTGATCGCCGTGCCCGAGCTGCGCGCCAAGCTCACCCGGCTGGGGGAGAAGCTCTCCGAGGAGGAAGGTACCTGGAATTCCCTCGGGGACCAAATTCCATTCCATTCCATTCCATTCCATTCCGTTCCATTCCATTCCTTTCCTTTCCTTTCCTTTCCTTTCCTTTCCTTTCCTTTCCTTTCCTTTCCTTTCATTTCCTTTCTCTTTTCCTCTCTCTTTTCCTTCATCTTCTCCCTCTTTCTTTTCTCTCTTCTCTTTTTTCCTCTTCCTCCTCTACAGCAGCCTCTGGGATGAGGAAGGGCCTGTGCCAGCAGGAGACACCAAAGTAAAAACAGGCAAAAACCCCAAACCCTTCCAGTTTGTCAGAAATTTGGCTCCGAGGGGGACAATGAACGCAAAAGCCCATCTGGACTAAATTTGTGGGGTGTTTGTTTTCCCCCTGTGGCACTCAAAAAGATGGATATTCCTGCTGCAGAGAATTTTACATGGAATTAAAATCCAGGTGCTGACTGGTGCCAGTGTGAAACTCCCACCTGATCCCAGAGGTGATTGCCAACAAAAATCCCCCAGACCCCAAACCCTGCAGTGCTGCTTTCCTCCAAACACCCCAACACCCCCAAACATCCCACCCCAGTGATATTTTCCCATTTTTCAGTGGATGACCTGCTAAAGGAAGCCAAAGTTGGGCCAAATGGAACCATCAAATACGAGGAATTTGTGCGCCACATTTGCCTTCCCTCGGTCGACTACTGAAACCCAGAGTGGGATTTGCTAACAGCAGCACCTGCAGGGTTTCCATTTCTATTTTTCCCACTTTTAGTCAGGCTCAGGAACCAGCAGCTGCCTTTCAAAACCTGATTTTGCCTTCATTTAGTTCTGACACTTCCATGGGTTCCCCCCGGGAGGGAAAAATTCCTGGAAAAACAAGAAATAATATTATATTTATCTGTTATTATAGCAATAGTTAGTGTTATTGAAATAAAGAGAGTGTGACAACACGTGTCAAGCTGTAAAAAAAATAATTTAAATGTTGGGATTGTGGCAGAAGGAACTCATGGTCGAGGTCTCCTGGTTCTCCAAGAGTCAGAACAGCCCAGCAGGTGTTTGGTGTCTCCACAAAGAAAAAACAGGGAAAAAAGGAAAAACAGGGCCAGGAAAACTCCCCTTTTTTCCACACCAAGAAAAAACTCTCCAGGAAAATTCCTGTTTTTCACACCAGGAAAACCTCCCCATCTCCAGACAGATGAAGCC